CAATAAACTCAAACTCAAACTCAAACTTGTCTTTCTAATGTGCTTTTGGCATGTTGTTTTACATTTTTTCTTGCATTCTGCCCAGAGTAACTTCTTGTGAGATGGGCAATGCATTAAACAGACACTGGAAATAACCTGCCTCCAGACAAGAGAAATCATACAAACTAAAGCCAGATAATCTTGTCACAAATGGCAAGAACAACAGTTCTCTGGAAGTAGCTACGTGTCTTTTGCAGAGACCTCTAAGCAATTCTGGAACAGACGTTGCCTTTGGATGCTGTGGGTGCTTCATCAACGGAGGTTTTTAGGAAGAGACTAGACAGTCACTTGTCTGAGATGGCATAGGAGCAGCTACTTGAGCAGGGGGTTGAACCAGAAGACCTCCAAGGTCCCTTCCAGCTCTATTCTAGTCTAAAACATTCTAAGTACCAGAAGGCAGGGCAAGAAACAATGGCTGGAGACTAATCCAGGAGAGAAGCAACCTGGAATTAAGGAGAAACTTCCTAATACTGAGGACAATTAACCAGTGGAACAGAAGTTGCCTTCAGAAGTTCTGGGTGCTCCATCACTGGAGGCTTTTAAGAAGAGACTTGAGCCGTTCAGAACTGGGCTGCGGAAGTGGAGGGTGAGTGCACATGTGCACATTCCCACTTGTGTGAGCTGCAAGTAAGAATGTGCGCTCCATTGGCGCGAGCAGTGTGCATGTGTGCCCACTTGTGCAATTTGAGCTGCGTGCCTTGCCCACCACTCGAGTGGAATCATCCCTCCCCCCCCCCCCGATCCACAAAGTTTGGGGAATTCTGCTGTAGCATATATGGTGACATAAGAATGAAACTTCTTTAACCCTACAACTTAATAGGGCTAAAAAGCTTATTCAGAAAGGAGTGGAATTTATTTTGTATCTTAAAATATCTCCACTAGAAGTGTTCTCGCTCTTCAGCCTCCACTATCACATCCAACTGAGATTTGCAAAATCCCTTGCAATCCTCCCATGAAGCGGCTGCTTGAAGTTTCTAACCGATTAGCCGATCCTTCCCCTCATTTTCTTTTCTAGAATTGCTTGGGGTTTCTGGGCTGAAATGATTATAAACCAATGTGTAGGTTTATTCAAAGAAACAAAAAATATTTATTAGGAAAATTTATATGGCTACTCAACTAATTCCCAGTGACAGAAAATAAGTCTAAAGACTGTTAGTATGGGGTCATGTAACAGGTAAGTTGTTCTTATGTCAATTTTTTTGTATGTAATACACTATAAAATCAAGAGATAACTACAAAATGTCTTTATTGAAAAAAAGATTATAACATCTAAGGTTAAATGAAATGCTGACTTTTAATATTAAAATAACTTAGGATAATAGTAGTTTTTTTAGATAAATAAATCTATATTTCCCAACATTTATTCTTCAACAATCATAGAAACCATATGGTAACACAAAAACTTTGACAAGTTTATGAACTAAAAGTCTGACATTTTAGAAAGATATATACAAACATGGTTAAACTAATATGTTTGCAGATGTAAACTAGACACATAATATACAAATTGGCCACTTTTTAATTTCCTACAAAAGAAAAATTAACATTGGTCCAAGTTCTTGGAAATAAAACCTATATTCTTTTAAAGAAAATGCAAATATTTCTCAAGAAACAAACTTAATTTAAGTCAAATCATTTACTCTAGTTATGGCATTAGTTGACTCAAAAGAGTTTAATGGGGCTAAGAAAATATTTTTTGTTCTGTAGTTTTGGTTTAACTCAACTGAACTCTCCCATCAATTTTTTAATTTCTAAATTATAAGACATCCACCCACTTGTTTTGAAATAAATATTTCCCCATCCTTAAATCTCTTCATCTCCTTTGGAATCTTAGGTTCTGGGGCAGGATGGTCTCCCAGATATTTATTTTGTGTTCATTAAGTGCATCTATTTTGGGTTCCTCGCTCAGGTGGATGTGAATCGGTGGAAGGAAAAAGGAAGGAAGGTATCCCATAAATATTTTGGCACAAACATTAAAAGCACTTCATCCCTGTGGAGCCAAACTCTCTGAAGTAAATGTAGAGGTGGCACTGAACTCCCAGTATTGGTCTACAGCTTCCACCATCTGGCATCTCCTTGTCCTTGGGCACCAGGTGGAGAAACTCCTGCCAAGGAGAAAGGCTGCAGGCAGCTTCCCTTGGCAGCACTGGTGGGGAAGTGCCCTCCCTCCCCATGCTTTCAGCAGGAGAGGCCAGTGGGCAAAGCAACCAGGCTGCTGTGGAGCAGGGCCAGCCCAGCCCTCATAGGGCCTGGAGTTTCACAGTTCAGCCACTATTGATGGGAGGTAGTAGGTTTCACATTTTTTGCAGAATCTGGTTTTTTGTTTATTTGCTATATGTCACTTTCTAGCTGCTTTCTGATTGAAGACCACATTTTTAAAATGAAAACGAGAGCTCTTCAGCAGTGATTATATTTAGGCAATGGGGAAAAAACAAAAATTAAAACAGCAAAATGTTGGAAATCATCGGGAAATCATCAGGTTGACAAATCTATTTTAAGTATCTAAAAGGTAAATCCCCTGAAACATTTTGAACAAATGAAATAAATAGCCTGGTATGTTTGAAAAATCATAGCCTGTGTACATATTTTAGCTGTTATGGTATTTGCGGAAGATTAAGGCAGTAGCAGGAATGGACAAGTTTGACACTAAAATAATCAAGATGCCTTAAAGAGCAGAGGAAGGAGAGAGGTACTTTCCAGAAGGCACCAGAAAGCCATCTACAAGAGGAAAGAGGTGGAACCTTTGCAGTAAAATCAAAGGAATTACAATGACTTTCTGGAAACTTCCAAACATGAAAAGGCCAACCATGTGGAACAGCCTTAAAAGGGCTGATCTGATGGGATGGAGAGGGGGGCTCCTTTCAAAGCATCCCATCGTGCTCCCATTTGGAAGGAACTGTTTACATTCCTTCTGCACTGACTCACCTGATCCTTCCCTCTTCCCAGCCCTTCAGACTTGGGAAAGGTCCCTGCTGCAGCTGGCAGGGCTATTGGGATAGTCTGGGGGAAGTCAGCCTGGTTGCTCTTCCATCAGGGGTCTTTTTTTGCACTTTTCAAACACATTTAGCCGTGTTATTTCCATCCGATTCCCAAAGCAGACTTTCACTGAAGTTGCTGGTGCACCAACAGCTTTTGGCCTGCAAAGGGCTGATCCAGGTGGTTTTATAAGAAGCAGCGAGTTGAAACGATTTCAAGGTCAATGTATGCAAGGAATTAATACAATATGGCTGAACCTGAAGTGTAAACTGATGTGGTCAGTTTTTAATTAATGGCACCTCTCAAATAATCAAAACGCAGCTTATTTTTTTAATAGAAAAAGTAAACATTTTCCATATGGAACACAGATTTTCCCAGAGTTGGAAATGTGCTTTAAAAGTCTAGCAAAATAGAAATGTAAGACTTCTAACACTTAACACATTGTGTCTTATAGGTTTTAATTTTTGCTAATTAAAAAAATTTCCTCTATGCTCCAAATTAGATATTTCCCTGCTATACATCTGAGCCAATTTTTTTACATCCAAACACCTAGAACAGTGTTTTTCAACCTTGGCAACTTGAAGATGTCTGGACTTCAACTCCCAGAATTCCCCAGCCAGCATTCGCTGGCTGGGGAATTCTGGGAGTTGAAGTCCAGACATCTTCAAGTTGCCAAGGTTGAAAAACACTGATCTAGAAAAAAGACGATTGTTTCCTGAGACTTTTAAAAACTGTTTTGTGACCTACCTAAAAACGCTTTGTATGGTCAAGAGGCCATGGGAATAATTATGCAAGTGCTGTGGATTCAAGTATAATTAACTTGGCCTTTAAAGCTGGGTTATCACCAAGTTGTAAAAAGCAGGAATCCCCTTCCTTGTACTGAGGGGGGCAGAGAGCAACTAGCAGAGCTTCTGCAGGGAGCCCCCAGGGTACTTGGCTGGCCCTGGCAGGTTCTGCGGTTGTTGGGAGCAGAACCATTTCCAGGCTCCAGGCTGCCTCTGGACTTTGGGAGGCTGGGAAGATTCCCTTCAAAAATAAGCAGTGGCAGGTCCAAAGAAATGGATGGGACAAAACCTTAATTTGGTTGAATTCAAATCTGAATTAAATTTAATGAATAGGCTTATACCACCTGTATGTAAAATTTTCCCATTCTGACACATTCCCGTTTCTGCCCCAAAAGAATGCTAAGAAAAAAACCTGTGGAATGGGAATGGAGAAGTTTCTGCCCCTTTTCCCCCTCTGCCACCCTGCTTTCAGCAAGGCTCCTCTGCACAGTTGCTGCCCGTCGGATCCCAGAAAGCTACGAGGTGACTGTTCTTCCCAGAGAGCCTGCAGCTCTCCCCTTAGCGGTGTGTTCTGCCTCACCTGGAAACACCAAACCCTCACATCCTTGCCAAGCACCTGAGAACCGTGCCGGACACAGCCCGGAATAGAAATGCTCTCTGTCCTTTCACGGGCTCCCAGCACATGGTGTCTTGTGTACTCTTGTTTTGCAGAGAAACCCAACAAAAAGCCAAGCTGGGAGGCCCACAGGAATCCCCTAGAAAGTTATTCCTTTTTTAAGTCACATTCAATTTTGCCCTCCCTCTTTTGATGCATGCAACAACCCTTGTGTCTCTCAAATTGTGAGAACCACAAGGTCAAGGGTGCAAGGAGAGCTAAAACATGGCTAAAGTCTTTTGGTCTCTTTCCTGTTGGAAAGCTAACGTTTCTTCTGGGAGCTCAAACAATCAATCATAAAAATGGCAACAAGCCAGTATTAATGGGTGGCCAGTCATCCCAACAGCTCTGGCATCAGGCCCCTTTCCCCATCCAATCCATGGGGTGCACGACTTTTCAAGTACCAGCATCGTGGAAAGAATCACTTAGGCAATTGCACCCAGAGCCAACCCAAGAGGTGCCCCTTCCTTTTCAATCTTAGAAGCAATAAATAATGGCGGCCGCTTTGTCTTTCTGGAGAGTCCTCTGTTGAGCCCTTTCCCCAGCGGGGGTCTTCCTCCTGGTCTTCAGTAGATGGGAAGCAGAAGCCTCAGAGCTCCGTGATATGCATGGGGTACCCAGAGGCGGAGTGTGCCGACACTTTAGTGCTCAAGCGCCTGATATGACAGGTGTGGCAGAGCAGGTGTCTCTCCAGTGGATAGCATCGGCGGCCCTCCTCGTCATTCAGCTGGAGTCCACAATCCTAAGAAAAAGAATGTCACCATCCATTAGTGGCCAGTGGACTTAGGATACTTGAAGTAAGCCTCAGGAAGACATGAGGGGTACAGATGTCTACGGAGATTCTCAAGTCATCCGGGTCATGGTTGGGTTGAGGCAAATTAGGAAATAAAAGCAAGAAATACCAGGAATGTGTTGCCACCAACCCTTTTGAATAGATATCTTTTCCTGGGGAGGGGGGGGACTAGTCCCAAACTGCTCCCTCCCTTCAACTGGGCTGCCTCAGCAGCTCTTAAGGTTTACCTCGCAGTGGTAACACTCCACATGGTAATCCCTGTCCATTGACACCACCCGGATGGTCTCTTCGGAACCCTAGTTTGGAGACAGCGAAAGAGGGTGAAAATTGGAGAGGAGTCCATTGTTGGCTTTCAAGAAAAATAGGCACTTTGAAACACCCTCTGCAACTATATAAATCCCTCGTTATATAAGTGCCACAATGAAACCTCTTCCATTTCCCAAATATTTGGTTTCCTTCCTTGCAAAATTAAGTGCAGAAATTATGGTTCCTGAAGATAGCAAGAGCACTTAAGACTTCTATACCGCTTCACAGGGCTTTACAGCCCTCTCTTTACAGAGTCAGCCTGTTGCCCCCAATATTCCGGGTCCTCATTTTACCGATAGACAAGATAGAAGATAGATGGATGATGGATGGATGGATGGATGGATAGACAGACAGACAGACAAATAAGAGAGGGAGAAGTAAGCAGTCAAAGCAGTTTAATTCCTAGGATTGGAGCATGGTGAGAACTCAGCTGCAGGGACAAAAAGTTTTGTTTGCGGCCAGCACATAATGGCTGTGCCAAAGCCAAAGTTTTAATCAAATGACAAAGAAGAACCTACCTGGACTGGCAAAATAGGCTGGTTACAGGAAGCGCACTTGGGTGCAAAAACCCTAGATTTGGGAAGGGGGGGAAGGAGGGGGAAAATAAGTTACATTTTTCTTGAGAAGCAAAGAAAAAAAATAGCAGGCAGCATTTAACAATTGAGAGCAAACAATGTTAGCGAATCCCAACTCTGCCCCATGATTGTGTTGCATTTTTTTTAGACCACAACGGTATGACATCTAAATTCAGCTATGGATTTAAGAATAACCCTCCTTCTAATCTAAGCAGGACAGCAGAACAAAATGATGATCCCATTAACCTCAGACAATCCCCCCAACCGAATGGCTGCCATCTAGTGAGATCTATTTGGTCCCCATGTACCATCACTTTAGTAGTGCAGGATTTAATTCATTTCCCAAATATCTCTGAGGGAAAAGTTTTAAAAGAAGAAAGAAAACAGCCGTGATCTCCTTCAATATAACCCCGGTTCCTGTTACATTTTTCAATGCAATATACAGAAATGTTGGCCACTAGATTGCCTTGCTGTCCGTCCTTGACTGGACTTGATCCTGGATACCGTCTCCTTTAGCAGCAGTCAACCCTTCCACATGATCTGACCCCGGGGGGGGGGGTGTCCCCCTTTTTTCTTTTGCCTTGCAGAGCTCTGCATTCTCACGTGTGATAGTCTTTAACACAGTAAATGTTGTTCTCCATATCGACAGTGAAGGGTATGCCATCCAGACATTCATTGCACACCACACAGCGGAAACAGCCAGGATGGTATGACTTCCCAAGAGCTTGCAAAATCTGAAAAAGAATCACAGGCGACAAATAATGCAAAGTCTCTTCCTGCTGTCGATAATTTGCTTCGTGCATCAAGGAACGGCGAGTGCCAGGCTTGGGGAAATCATTCAGAGTGCTAGGAACGGACCACTGGAGTAACTGGCCGTCTTGAGAAGCCACAATACAACTGTCATTTCCCCTCTGCCTGTGGGCTGTTTTAAACCTTCCCAGCCTAGAGAGCAGTGCTGAGTTTCCTAGACCTCTCCAATCCAATCCAAGTACTAACCAGTAGGGATGACTGTTTCTCCCTCTACTCTGCTCTTCTGCAAAGTTTAGAACCAAGTCTGGAATTGCAACCGGCCTCCCTTGGAAGTTTTAGGCCTCAACACTTTTCTTGTTTGTGGCAATGGCTCCAGGAGAGTCAAAAGAGAGAGATTCACCCAATGCTCCCTTGGGCAGCCCAACTCTCTTGATTGGCAGAGGGATTATAAATATCCCTTGATCTTTTTAAGCCTCTTCTTGATTTGTATTGCATGCTAACTAAAGGAATTTCCAAGTGCAATCCTTACCAAGGGAGTCAACACTTTCTTCTCTTATTGTCATGCTTTCGTTCGGACACTGGTAACCTTTCCCCACCTGCATTAACTAATGTAATTGGAGGCACATTGTCTCAGAGAGATTCTTCCAAATCATAATTAAAATAGAACTGAACAAAGAAAACAACACTGAAAATTAGATCAGACTCTGAAACCCAGGTAGCTGGGCAGGTGTATCATCTCAAGTGCCCCTAAGGGAGAAAGAGAGATTTGGAGATGAAAGGCAATGCTACTGAGTGCCCTTCAGCACACAAAAGCCCTCTTCTGTGAAAAGCCCAGCACCAGCTCTATGGCCTTGATCTTCAACCAGAATCCCTTTTGGTTGTCCCCTCAGTGGAACTGTTGCCAGATAGCTGGTGTGGTTGCATTTCTTCTGAAGATCTAACGAGATGACTGATGCTCAAGCCAGCAGCAGCAGCACTGCAGGTTAGCCCTTTCCACTGCTATGATTTCACCATCTCAGCAGCAGACTGCCAGAGCAATGGTTTGTGGATCACTATGATACATGTGGTAGCAGCTGAGGCGGCAGCAAGAGGAAAGGTTTAACCAGATCCTGGCCAGCTCCTCTGGTTGTGCCTGCAGGCTAGAATATGGAATTGAACTGGTTGGTTTACAAGAGTCATGAAGAAGGCCAGACAAGGAAGGATGGATGGAAACTGATCAGGGAGAGATTCAACCTGGAAGTAAGGAGGAATTTCCTGGCAGTGGGAACAATCAACCCATGGAAGAGAAGTTCTCTTCGGAAGTTGTGGGAGCTTCAACATTGGAGGCTTTCAAGAAGAGACCGGACAACCATTTGTCAGAAATGGTGTAGGGTCTCCTTGGGCAGAGGGTTGGACTAGATGAACTACAAAGTCCCTTCCAACTCTGTGAATCTGTTAATTTTAATCTGTTAAATCCACAAATGGGAACCTTAACTGCGGCATCATAATCTGAAAGATTTGTGAAACAAAAATTCCACCTTATGCAGGGATGTGAATAAATGTTTATGAAAATTCAATCAGGTATCCTTTAGTTCAGGGGTCTCCCTGAAATTTTGGACTTCATCTCCCAAAATTCCCCAACGAGCATGAAATCCACAAGTCTTTATGTTGCCAAGTTGGGAGACCCCTGCTTTAGGTCAGTGATGGTAAACCCGTGACCCACATCAACGGTAATATGCTATTCTATTTTGGGTGGCATAACTGCATTTACCAACACCTGACAACAACTATTCTTGAAAGCAGGCCCGGCGATGTTGGTAAGCTGCAGAGGCCATGTGAGAATGGGGTGTCCTCTCCCACGGCCTCTGAAAATTGTGTGAGGAGGCGGCATGATTCCACATGGTTTCGGGAGGCTCCAGAAGCCACGGAAGAGCATCCTCCAAAGCTGCTCCCAGAACGAAGGCACCTGCACTGAGTAGCCTCAGGGAGGCTGCAGGGTACTGACCACCGAAGGTAAGTGGTGTAAGGCAGGCCCTGGGGGATGCTGGATTGCAGGGCAATCCCTCGGTGGGCCCTGGGGAAGGGTGTGAACGGCTCCAGACGTTCAGAGGCCAAGGGTGGGTGGGTGTGGGGGGCACAGACAAGTTGGGGTGACGTTTTATCCTCAACATTTTTGAATCAAGTATTAATTCAAGTCAGAGTTTTTTCTCTTTCTCCAACTGTCAAATGGAAGAGAGAAACAACAGATCCCAACAATAAAGATGACTCTTTTCCTTCCTTTCAACCCTGCGCTAAGGACTGAACGCCACAAAAGTTCACGGGTGTCACTGTGGGCCAGTCGCACACAACCTACCTCACAGGGCTCTTGTGGGGGGAAAAGGGTAGGGAGGAATACTACGCTTTTGAGCTCCTGAATGAAAGGCAGGGGGGAAACCTAACAAATGACCAAATATAGCACTTAGCAATTGCACTTAAGACTTGTATACCGCTTCACTGTGCTTTGCAGCCCCCTCTAAGCAGTTAACAAATGTCAGTCTCTTGCCCCCAACAATCTGGGTCGTCTTTTTACTGACTCCAAAGGATGGAAGGCTGAGCCAACCTTGAGCTGGTCAGGATTGAACGGCTGGCAGTTGGCAGAATTAGCCTGCAATACTGCCTTCTAACCACTCTGCCACCAGGGCTCTGCAAGCAATGAAAAGTGAGGAATATCGAAGGCAGCGGAGAAAGTGGCTGCGCTGTGAGGGTCCTTTGCGGTCCATGACTAGAGCTGCCCCTTAGCATTTCTGGACCCAATGCTTTACTGCAGCACAAACCTTCCCCACTAGAGGCTGTTGTGCCTCAGCCTTTGATGCTCAGTCCTTTAATGGTTGGCTCAAGCAAAAGGTTATATCTGCAAAGCAGAATGCAACCTTCGCCTCCTTCCAAAAGTCCTTCCATGACTTGCAATGAGCTGCCGTTTCGCTGGGGTCTTCCTCTCACTGCAAAGTACTGCTCACTGCAGTTTGGGGTCCCAGCAGTTGACTTTCCTCCTTGAAAGAGCTGCCAGTTTTCAGAAGTCGCCTCCACTTCCTCCAAATCCTTTTTAGCGTTTTGCATTTTGTAAGCAAAAGGTCCTGGATCGGCAAGGTTGCCTCTGGCCCTTGAGCATCCCTCAATTATTGCAGCCACAATGTTGGCTTGAATGCTTGTGAGTAAAATGGTGAATGTATAAATGCTTCAAGGAAAGCGGAAGGGAGGGGGGAGAGCTATTTTTCCCAATCCCACCATCACTCCCTCCCCAAAGTTTCCCAGAGAGCTGGCCAGAGAAGAGCAGAGACCTCAAGTGAGCATCCCCAGGGAGAAGCACCAGGAGAGCCAAATGGGCACTGGAGGCAGAGGGGAGGGGGAAGAGCAGACAAGAGACCCTGCCACAAAGGGAGAGGAGGCAATCTGAATCTGGCAACTTTGCAGACGCACCCCAGGGATGTGTCATTCCTAAAGGGCTCTAGAACAATTTGTCCCAGGCCTGCAACTAGCTGCAGGACAAGAGTTACATAATATTGAAGAAATAATGGAATTGAATCATTAAAGATGCAAAAGGAGGGACAGAATGAAATGTGAATGACAAAAATTAAAACATTTAAAATAAAATTATTTTAAATAATTAAACTGAATTGTTGAATTGTCCCACAGCAAGTTGGCTGTGGCGAGTTGTTCCATTCTGTTTCTAAAGAGGCCTCCTGGGGCACAATCCAATCTGGCTAACAGAATAACAGTTGGAAGGGATCATGGAGGTCTTCTAGTCCAGCCCCCTGCTCAAAATTAGACCGGCTGTCCCATCTCTTCTCAAAACCCTCCAGGGATAAGAGTACCCACAGCACTTGGAGATTAATTGTTCTGTCAGGAAATCCCTCCTTAGTTCCAGGTTGCTTCTCTCCTTGATCATTTTCCATCCGTTGCTTCTTGTCCTGCCCTCAGGTGCCTTGGAGAATCGGTTGAGCCCCTTCTTTTCTTTGTTAGAGCCCCTTAAATGTTGGAACACGGCTCTCATGTTCCCCCTGCTCCTTCCTTTCATTGGACAATCAATAGAGATCAAAGCCAAGCACAGATTGCTATGGCACCTGTGAAGCCAAAGGTTTGGGGAGAAACCCCATTCTTTCCAGGGCTCAGGAAGGACTGTCCAAAGAGGAACTGCTCCGCCTTCTTTCCAGACAAACCCATCACTCTCTGGAAGGCTTTCCTGCCATCTCTCGAAACAAACACTGGTGCAACAGTTTAAAAGTAGAAGCAGAAATATTTTTATTAATACACCTGTATTGCCAGCAGGATTTTCCTTGGGGGCCAACTTTCTTTGTCCACGAAGGGAAAAAAATTAGTTCGTTTATGGCAGGAGTGTCAAACACAGGATTTGTGGGCAGGATCAGGGTGCTTAAATCTGGCCTGTGGGGCCAGCCTGGAAATATCAAAGGATCAGCCCACGGTGCCTCTGCTGGCCAAAATGGACCACGGGGGATGGCACGTGCGGCCTCTCCCGCAGCCCGTTTTCAGCCTCCCCTGGCTTCCTGCAGCACTCTGCCGGCTGAAAATGGAGTGCTGCAGGAAGATTGGACTAGACTGGACTGGATTACCATTATGTGGCCTGAAGTAAGTGCCTGATCTGGAGAGAAAACCAGCAACATCCTATATTAATACTACAGTTTAATGCCAGATTTTATGTAGGCCCATTTAATCCACAATCTATAATTGACAGGCGTTTCTATTTACTATCCTGGAATTCACCTCTGCTGTTAGATCTCTTATTATCATGTTATTTATGCTATTGTATTTTTATTATTAGTTGAATAATAAAAATACAATAGTATAAATAGCTTTTTTGCCTTGAAAAACAATGGGGTATAAATTTAGAAATAAAAGTTTTAGTGGAGAATGAAGAGTAAGTAATAAATGTTTGTCAGTAATATCTGGTAGAAGAGATAGGAAAATGGTTATAATAAAGAACTGTGGAAAGAAAGAAGAGAAGGGGAAA